GTAGGCGGTTGATGCGGCGATCTGATATCCGAGTAGTCGGGCAAGTTCTCGAGAGAATTTTGAAATGAACTGCGGTCCTCTGTCTGAGATCACTTTTTCGTGAAGGCCGAATCTTTTGAACACGTTTTTGAGGAATAGTCTAGCTACTCCTTCGGAGGTGATGTTTTTATTGCAAGGTGAAATAATTACCCCCTTCGTAAGCCCATGGTCTACCACGATCATGATAGAGTCAAAACCGCCCGATACAGGTAGGTCGGTGATAAGGTCAACAGAGACTTGGGAGAAGGGGCGAGTGGCGATGGAAGGGATCGGTCGCAACGGCGGAGTGACCGGGTGCGTGTCAGCCTTCATTTGCTGACATAATGCACATCCGTCGACGTATTTGCGGATGTAAGTTCCCATGGCTGGCCACCAAAAATCTCGTTTGACGAGTTCTTCCGTCTTGAATCGTCCGGGATGTCCCGCAGTGGGATGATCATGGTGTTTAAATAACACGTCATGTCGTTGGGCTGCTGGGACGTAAGCTCTATTTTTATAAAAGAGGACGCCATTGGTGCACGTCCAGTCTGAGAGGGCGGATTTCATTGGGGGAAGGCATACTCCGTCCAATGCTTCCAGGGCTTTCTGGTAGACGGGATCGTTGGCGGAGTTGCGTGCAATACTTTCCGACAAATCATTGTCAATTAGTCGTACGAACATGGTATCAGGAAGGAGAATGCGATTTTCGTTATCGTCTTTTCCGAGTGAATGGTCGGGGCGTCGAGAAAGGGCATCAGGGGCGGCTAATTTGGTCCCTGCGACGTGATGCAACTCTAACTGATAATTGGAAAGGGCGAGTTGCCAACGTGCCTGTCTTCGTGTCAGCTTTTGGGCGGAGCGGAAGTACAGGAGGTTCATATGATCCGTGAATACTATCACGGTGTGGGGGCTCCCTTCTAAATAGTGGCGCCATTCAGAGAGTGCTCTGATGACTGCCAGTAGTTCTCTGTCAAAGATTTCGTAGTTTCGTTCTGCGGGGTTGAGAGATTGGGATAGGTAACCGCATGGACGGTACATTCCATTTTCATCAGTCTGCAGCAACACTGCTCCGGTTGCTGCCAACGATGCATCGGTAGCAATTGCGAATTGGCGAGTCGGATCCGGGTTTCTTAGGACTGGTTGCGATAAAAAGGCGTTTTTAAGGTGGTCAAAGGCGTTCTGACACTTGTCAGTCCAAACGAAAGGGTGGTCTTTCTTTGTGAGGTCGATAAGGGGTCGAGCGATATCCGAGTAGTGAGCAATGAACGTCCGGTAGAAATTGCAGAATCCTAGAAAAGACCGTGTGTCTTTTAGATTCTCCGGAGTTGGCCAGTGTTTGATTCCGTCTACTTTGGCGGGTTCCATCCCTACTTCCCCTGGTCGGATCATCATACCAAGATATTCTACCTCTCGCGCATCAAAGGTGCATTTTTCCGGTTTAACGAATAGTTTCTCTTTTCGAAGGATGTCGAGGATTTCGATGGTCCGTGCTTGGTGCTGCTGGAGATCCTTTGAGAAGATCAATAAGTCGTCCATGTATATGACTAGCCATCCTTGGTTTATCTGCTTCTGGCAGACGTTGGTCATGAACGCTTGGAAAGTTGCGGGGGAATTCGTTAATCCAAAAAACATGACTGTTGGCTCGAACAGTCCTTCTTGAGTGGTAAACGCTGCTTTCCATCGATCTTCTGGGTGGATCCTTACGTTATTGTACCCTGATCTAATGTCGATCTTCGTGAAATACTTAGCGTCATAGAGTTGTTCAATGAGGGATTTTGGCAAGGGGAGGGGATATTGATTTCGTACGGTCCAATCGTTGAGATACCGATAATCCTGACAGGGACGTAGTTCTCCGCTCTTCTTTCCTACAAAAAAGAATCCGCTGGCTTGAGGTGACTTGGAGGGGACAATAAAACCTTTTCTAGTATTTTCTTCGATAAATGTTTTGACAGCTTCTCGTTCTTTTCCTGATAATGGATAGACTTTTGACGTCTTGGGTACAAATCCTGGTTTGAGGTCGATATGATGATCTACTCCCGGTCTTTCCGGCGGGAGTTTGTTAAGACCATCTTTGGCAAAAACGTCTTTATAGTGGTGGAGGAAGTGAGGGACGAGTTCTTCGAAAGTTTTCTTTTGCTTTTCTATTTCTCCTGCAACCGCGAATTCTTGGGCTTTATTACTTGTTTTTCCATAGTTTTGTTCTCTTTTTGACGTTCCGTCTCGAACGAGTGGGGTATCGAAGGTTATATCTTCTATGATGCGTACGGTGGATCCATCGGTGGCATACTCGACGAGTACTTCGTCACTGGCTAATTGATAGGCAAGTGGATCTGTGACTGGAGTTTTGAAGTTTTCTGACCAGACGTCGTCCTTTGTGTCATAGTTGGGTATTTCTTCATCAACTATTTCTTCTACGGAAGCGGTATAGGGGGGGATGGTTTCCTTAGTTGCCATCTTCACCTGTATCGGTTTCCGTAGTTTGGAATTTGTCCAAGTTCGGGTTGTTTCTTTTCTGACTTCTTTTTCTTTTCTGAAGAGTGGCGGGAGCGACTTCTTGCGTCTTTTTCTGTCAATGTTTTTTTCTATGGTGAGCGACCTCCTTGTTGATGGGAGAGATACGGTTTTGGCTTCCCAATCGATCTGGGGCTTTAGTGCAGCAAGCCAGGGGAATCCTAGGAGGATTTTGTCTTGTTTGGCTAGTTTCGCCACATTGAATTTCCCGATCATGGTTCGTTGATCGATTTTGATCGTGAGTACGCAGTAACGAGAGATGAGTCCTCCTTGGGCGTCTGATCCATCGGCGGTGATAACAGGGAAGGGTCGTGAGAGTTTATGGGTTTTTATTCTATGCCTTTTACAGAAAGTATCGCTGATAAAAGTGCCGGATGCTCCGGAATCGATGACCATGGATGTTTCGACGGTTTGCACGCGTTTATCGGAAAAAATGGATGCAGGAATTCTTAATTCATTTCTGGTTCCGATAGAACGTATTAGTCGTACATGAGTGGGAGTTACTGACGTCGAGGCAGTGTCCCTTTCTAAAAATCCATCTCCACGAAGCGACGTTCCACTTCAGTGAAGTCGCTGTCTTCTTCTTCTTCAACTTCTTTGGCTTTTTCGGTTTTCCTTCGGACCGGTGCTTTCCTCCTCGGAGTTTCTTCCTCGTCTTTTTCTTTCTTCCTTCTGATAGGGTTCCTGGAGGAGGAAGCGCGACTTTCGTCTTCGTCGTCGCTGCTAGTTTCTTCTTTGTTTCTTCGGATCTGTCCTCTTTCTCTTGGGTGGAAGGAGGTGTCGTTGGCACGGTGTCCTACTTGGTGACATTTGAAGCATCGTCCTTCTTTGAGGTGCTTCTTCAACTCTGCGTCTGAGAGACGGCTTATGCGGTCGACTTCCATGTCATCGTTCCTTTTTGGAATATAGTGTCTATTTCCGAAGTTCTTCTTTTTCTGTTGCTGGGGTCTTTCTTTCTTCTTGATAGCTTTCCATCTTTGGAAGGCGTTATCGAGATTAATGCAAGAGTTGACAACGGTGTCGAAGTCATCGAGAGTTTCGCCCGTTTTGTACAGGTTGTCCTGAAGCCCGTAGTCTAGGCCCTGTCGAAAGAATTCGATGAGGGGGGCTTGTTCGGTCATTCCTGCTCGATGTGCGAGGAGTTTGTAGTTGGAGATGTAGGTTTGGAGATCTCCTTTCATCTCTAATCCTCGTATCTTCGTCATTGCGGTTCCGGCGGGGTCCATGGGTTTAAAGGCTTCATCGAAGTCCTTTTTAAATTTGGCCCAGGTACCATAACCGATCATCTGTCCGGAGGTGTCTTTCCTCTTGGGGTCTAGGGCTGCTTCCATGAAGTCTTCTGCCCAGGCTGCTGCATTTCCTTTCGTCATGTAGGATAACACAAGAATGATCTTTTTCTTATCATCGACGTAAACTTTGTCGTTAATGTCGAGATATGCATGACATTTCATCATGAATCTCTTTGATTCTTCTCTGTCTCCATCGAATTCGGGAGGGGAACCGATCTTTAGTTCTATTTCTTTGTTCTGTGTCGTCATGGTGTTCAAAGGAGGAATGGTTGGTAGCGCTCCTAAGTTCAAGGCTCCGATTAAGGGAGTTAACGAAGTCGTGGCGTCGGTTTCGTTGCAGATGGCAACGGTTCAGGTGATAAAGACTTTAATCTTTTGTTACGACTGGGATGAGTCGAGCTATCTCTGTCTGAGTAGACAATCGGCAGGATGCCTAGATAGACGTGAGTCTGCTCTCGATTGAGAGATCAAGGTTTCTGGCTAAGGCGAGTGTTGCTGACTCCCTTAGAATAGTAGTTCTAGACAGTAAGGTTGGAGACCTTACTGAAGGACGATGTTCCAGGTAAAACCCAGTAGATTAAAGTAAGGAATACAACAGTGGGTAGGTAGGTTTATATACCAGTGTTCAAGCGGAGCTTGTAAATGCGTTATCAAGATAGAAGCAGAAAGAGGCGGACAGCCCGCTTGGTGAGATAAGAGATAAGCATGATAAGAGATAAGCGTGGTACGGACGGCCCGTTTAGAGGTAGCAAGGAAATGAGTATAGGGGTTTAGATGTTACTGTAACAGACATCAGCCCAGACTGCAACATGGGCTGACCTAGAGGCAGCATTTGTCACCTGTTGGCCACCCAACTTACCATTGCAACTGACAGCGGGACAGAAGAAAGAACAGCTCAAGGCCATTGTCTTGAAGGAAGAGGACATTGGGTCCATGCTAGAAGATGAGAAAGGACAGGAATGGGGCCATGTGAGATGGGCAAGGCAGGTGCAAAGGTTGGCACAGAGTTTTGGGGATAGCAATTGCCAGTACTTGGACGTGGTGCTCAACGGAGTGCCCGACATCCTGCGTGACCAACTTGCAGACTCATACACGAGCTGGGCCGCGTTCCTTGCAGGCGTTAACAGCTTCTCTATTAACCTTCTCAACAGAGCGAGACTATGAGCAGCCGAGGAATGCACCATGAGGGACGACATCACACAGTTGAAGGCCAAACTGCAGTCCCAGCAGCAGAATCCGCAAGCGAGACAGTACACACCCAATCCCCCAGCCTACAGACCTTACCCATGGCAAGTAGGCAACATAACACCCACCCTAACAGCACAAGCGCAAGGCCAGCCAACTCAGCAAGCCGTTGGACAGTCAAACACAAACTTTGTCCCAGTACAGCAGTACCAGATCCCAATGTTCCAGCCCCAGCCAACAACACCCAGCTACCAGCAGCCACCGGTCACACCTGGACCAAACCCGTTTGCTGGGAGCCCCTTCAGTGACAAATTCCGTATTATACGGGCCACCCGACCTACATAATATCCTGTATGAGATGGGCCAGCGGATTATGGGCCCATGTTGTGTATATTCTCGATGATGACAGATGGGCCGGGACACATATTATTTCCGATGGAGACGGGTGGGCCCATGTATGCCAATGATATATATATCCTTGATGTTGACGGATGGGCCAGGGGAATATGATCATTCATGGAGATGGGTGGGCCCATCAGGGTAATATGTAGAGTAGGATATTATAGACAGCTGGGCTGAAGAGAGATGTAAGGCAAATATTGTTATATAGACGGGTGGGCCGACGGGGGTGTATTACATATATGGGTGGGCCGAGGTAGGGGAATATTACATAGATGGGTGGGCTGACGCGGGGTGTATTACATATACAGGTGGGCCGACATAAAAAGTATTACATATACGGGTGGGCTGACGAAAGGGATATCAAATAGACGGGTGGGCTGAGGGTGTGATAAAATATTTATTACATAGACAGGTGGGCCGAGGTGGGGTATAATTATATAGACAGGTGGGCCGACATAGTATGTATTATATAGACGGGTGGGCCAACGTGGGGGATAATACATAGATGGGTGGGCTGACATGGGGGAATTGTATGTAGATGGGTACATATATGGGTGAGCCTAGATACATATAAATGTCAAATTTTCAGTGCAAAACCCCAAACCAGGATTTACCAACCCCCGAAACCCGAAATTGTGGACTGCTGGGTGTCGGGTTTTGGGGTTCGGGGGTCCCGGAACTCGGAACTCGGTATGTGAAACAAACATATATTTCATACACGGGTAAGTCAATGTGTCCGTCAATCAACTCGATTGTAAATTATATTTTATTGATCTCCCCAAATTTCCCAAGTTCCGAGTTCCGAGTTCCGGGACCCCCAAACCCCAAAACCCGAAACCCGGCAGTCCACGATTTCGGGGTTCGGGGGTTGGTAAAATGTGTATGGATAGATGAATGGTTGATTTAAACATTTTTGAAAGATGTCTCATATGAAATGTCAAGTCCCGAGTTTTGAATTCCGGGTTTCGGAACTCCGGGTTTTCTATCCATACACATTTTACCAACCCCCGAACCCCGAAATTATGGACTGCCGGGTTTCGGGGTTCGGGGGTCCCGGAACTCGGAACTCGGAACTTGGGAAATTTGGGGAGATCAATAAAATATAATTTACAATCGAGTTGATTGACAAACACATTGACTTACCCGTGTTTGAAATATATTTTTCTTGTCTCACATACCGAGTTCCGAGTTCTGGGACCCCCAAACCCCAAACCCTGGCAGTCCACAATTTCGGGGTTCAGGGGTTGTGTCCCAGAACTCGGAACTCAGTATGAGACAACAAAAATATATTTTGGGGTTTGGAGGTTAGTAAAATGTTTATAGATATACGTAGGTTGATAGAAACATGTTTGAAAAATGTCGTTCATCTCAAATGTCAAATCCTGAGTTCCGGGCTTTGGGACTCGGCACCCGGCACCCGGCACTCGGGGTTCGGCACTGAAAATTTGACATTTGGGTGTTAGGGTGTAGGGTGATATCTACCTCAATCTACAGGTTCGAGTTCTGGATATCAGGACTGATTATTGAATCATTCAATTGTGGCATAGGTAACATGCATTGAAAAAGATTTATGTACATCTATCACTGAGCAATTATGTAGCCATTGCAACCTCCTCACCAGGAAGATCAACCTTCCCCTCAACATCCATATCCTCATCAGAGGAATCATATTCTGGCAGGAGGTTACCTGGTTCATTAGGGACCACAATATCGCCGGAGGATTCTGGCAAGAGGTTGCCTGGTTCATCCGGGAGCACAATTTCGCCAGAGGATTGTGGACCCTCAGGCTGAACTTGGGTGGGCTCAACCATGAGACCTACCATAGCAGATCCATCCTCAAGCGTCAAGGATGTGGGTTCTATCACTGAAAAGTCCAAATCAATGAGGTTGGAAAGTGTGGAGGGGAGGGGTGAAATGGACGGGGGGGACCGGATTGATCAAGCAAGATTGTTGCATCGGCCGGTGTGTCCGGAAGTGAAAATGAAGGGTGCCGGTCGACCATTGTGCGCCGGAGGCTCTCATGGAGGCATTGCAGGGTATCAATCTTAGCATCCTGCTCCTGCACCCGAGCCTCAAGAATAGCGATGTGAGCTGCACCATCCCGAATCGCGATTGCCATGGAATGGAGATCCGGCATGGGAACATCGAGTGCTGCACAAGGCACTGCAGAACTCGAAGACCGAACAGCTAAGTAAAAAATAAGATCAGCTGGTCATCAAAAGTGTGGGTGACTTACGAGCTGGCGCAGGTGCAGGTGCAGGTGCAGGTGCAGGTGTCTTCTTGGTAGTGATGGTCTTGCTGCGACCACGTGACTGCACCTGGGGTGTACTTGCAGCAGGGATGGCCGGAGTTCGGGACGGGCCACGAGATTGACTACGAGTCCGGGCCCTTGACCGGGAGGGAGACGGAGCAGTGGATGGAGCAGGGGCAGGTGTCTTGGAACGCGTCCGGCCCGTGGTAGACTTCCCTCGGGTCCGTTTGGGCGGGGATCCCAGAGATGCCGGGTTGCATTTAATCATCTTGGTGGAGCAGCGGATGCAAGACAAGCAGGGGAGGCTGGACCTCTTGTCCAAACGAGTCGCACAGGGCCAATTCTCCTTGACGCAATAATGGCAGGGGTTGTTCTGTGGTATCCGTTAGTAGATGGACTAGGGGAATTAATTGAGCACTCACTGGGCCGGGAATGGTGATATCAAATGTGGTAGTGGCCAGAGGGTCACCGTCTGAAGCGCTGGAAGTATCACCAGAGGACTCCTCAACTTCCGGACGACTGCCGGAGGTTGTCTGATAAATTGTAAGTACACATGTGAGTTCCGGGCGAGCTTGTAAGACTTACCCGAGCCTCCGGACGACTGATGGGAGATTCCTAATGCAATGGGCATGAGTAAGAATGATACATGCGAGTTCCGGACCTGTCTGGAAGACTCACCATGACCTCCGGACGCTTGCCGGCAGTCAGCTGTGGACACATGAGCATATATATGAGTTCTGGACGACTAAATCAGACTTACCGAAGCAGGCCCAAATGATTGCTTCTTGGGGGAACCAGGTGAACGAGGCAACTGGGGCTTCCTTACAACAATGGTGGAGAGCTGGGGAAGGACGACCTCCGGCACTCCACGCGAAATCGGCTGCAACAAATTGAGAGCATGTCACAAATGAGCCAGAACACATACCTGAACAATTGGGTCTTCATCATCTTCTGACTCCACAAACGGCTTTGACTTGGGGAGTCCAGTTGACTTGACACACTTGTGACCCTTCATCGCCGACTTCAGAGGTTGGGAGGAGTGTCCAGAAATCATGGGGGACTTCCTCTTGTTGCTCCCTCCGACTTCCGGCTCCAAGTCAACAGAAATGGCCTTACCTTTTCCTTTGTCCCGGAACTCGGAGGTCGTCTTGCCAGAAGGTCTGGCGACATTGCCGGTGACGACGGGAGGGGAGTGAATGACAGTGGCGGGGGAAGGGACAGGTGGAGACGGAAGATTGACAGTCAGTGGGCCAGTGGAAGGATTAGGAACAACAGGGAGATCACAGGAATTGTCACCCAACGCCTCCCAGGCACAGACCTGCTTGCGCCAGGTGTGTCTAGCCACCCGGGGATCATCATGGCCAATGCTGTGCCAGTTGGGCAACACCTGGGGAGTCATGGAACGCACCCTCATCAGCCCTTAGAACAGGAAGCCACAATGCCAGGGATGTAATCCCCTTTCTCATGCACCCGGATGATGTCAGCCTACCCGGATATTAGAAACATCAATGGTAAACTAATTTAATAAGTGCAACTTACCAACCGATTGGTGACCTGCCTTGCCAGAGCAATGTGGACGTGCACTGAGCCGGCCGGGACGTGCCGAGCGCTGGCAATGACGCCCACAAGTTGAGCAGTGGATGCCTTGAGGTCGGCCAATGAAGATTGAACTGGAGTAGACATTTGGATTGAGTTGACAGATGTGAGAATGTTGAAAGCAGGGTGAAATCTGTTATCACTAGAATGAAGTTTCAAAGAAACAATACAATTGAAGGACAATGTTGAAAATCATTGATTGTTTGTCTTTGTTTGGTCATGGTTCAACTTTCGGCAATCGCCGGCCATGTGTTGAACTTCGACGTTATCTGTTATCAATCAGTTCATCAGTTCATCAGCTCATCAGATATCATGAGCTCTCAACCTGGGGTCAGATTTCATGACCCTCCGGTCACTGAATCCACCTCAATGGATGTGGATGAGACCTCCCAGTCCCGGATATCCCTTGGTATGTTTTGTTTCTGCTGATTTCAGTGAATTGATCTTACATGGTTTAGATCCATTAGATGATATATACCTTGGGCCGGATGATGAGTTAGACTCTGATTCTGGGTCATCCGGTGGTTTGGATTCATTAAATGCGATTCCCGGTATGTTTCTCAATTCAAATGTACATATTCTACATGTGAAAATCCATCACATACTTCCAGATCCATCATATCCGGCCCTGGCAGATGGACTGGCCCTGTACGATGACCCGGACTTGTATCTTGGTCCGGAGGATACCTTTATTTCGTCTGATGATGCTCCAGCTGTACCCGATTTTCCTATGGCTGGTGAGGTTATTCTTTTCATCTCATGTTCATTTTTCATGGCATTTCCCCAGTGAATGAATCAACTCCAGTACCTCATCCGGCCACTCCGGCTGTACCAGAGGCACCCATACCTTGTACATGTACTCATATCATGTCATGTGTTCTATTCATGTTATCTCCCAAGCGAATTCAGAAACTCCCGAACGTCAATCGCCCAAGCCGGAACTCAACAATGAAGAACTGCGTGCCATGGTTCAGGAGTTCATGCCAATTGGATCTTATGATCAAGCTGAAAGTATGTATACAACAGTTGATTATTTATCTCTGCTAATGTTCTGCAAGTTCAAACAATTGTAGATTGCCTGGGTGATTATGAACAGAGTCATGGAAATCTGGTTCGGGGTTTGGTACTCGGGGTTCAGTGCAGTATACTTTGCCTGCTCAGTACTTAGTACTTGGTACTTGTATACTTTACCTACTCAGTACTTAGTCCTTGGTACTTGTATACTCCACCTACTCAGTCCTCGCTGCCCGGTGTTCTGTGCTCGGTAGTGGACCAGGCCGGTCCGTCGCTGTCACTCCATCCACCCACTTAACAATCAGATCATCGTGTCCTCACATAGGGAACTTAATCTCCAAGACCACCCAAGAAGTTGGATCAGCGTGCACATTATACGATGACAATGCTGCAGTCATCCAGCAGTCCTCAGCTGACCAGATGGTTGCGGACCTCCTGAAGAAGAATATGGACGACTTTTTTGGAGAGGCAAAGAAGGTGATGGATGCCTTGGATACTCTGCAACAGATCCATCCCTTTGTTAGTGGTGAGTATTAAACTTGTTGACATTACTACTTCGGCTAAGATGACTTCCAGTGGCTATAATCGCTTTCAAGGCTGTCGTGAATTTTGAAATAAGGTGAAGAGAGAACGATCGTACAGTTTGTTTGATGCTTGCAAAGGCATTTGATATGATGAATATGCTTCTTCAGTTCATTGGTTGATGCTCACTCAACACAAATTTCGCTGATTCGATCCATTGATAGACTTAAGGACACTAGAGACCCGGACATCGTGGGACCTCGTGGCACTATTCGGGGCCGACTGGATGGTGTCTTGGATAAAATGAAGCGCAATGTCGAGGATTGCGGAAATGCCATCGACAAATACTACAAGTCGAAATTTGTCGGTTAGTTGATCTCGAATTCTTAAATTTCTCGCCGGATTGATAATTGCATCCTGAAATTCTTCAGATCATCCCATTGGGCGGATAAGTTCCTCGTGATTAGCGGGAACTTTTCCCAGTGTATACAGGAACTTCGGGATGCCTTGGCCATTAGGACGGCGTTGGGAGTCGACACTGTGATCAAAAAGCTGGAGGATCTCACCAAGACGCTAGGTGAACGCGAAGCGAAAATCGCGAAAGGAGAGAAATTTCACGGTGCAATGGCTCAATATTTTGAAACCGAACGCGAAAAGAGATTTGCAAAAGAAGTGATCATGCGCAGTGGAATGGATCCAGGTTTCGAAAGCGAAGACAAATTAACAGAGCTAGTGAAATTCGCCAAGCAACAGGAAGCACAGATTCAAGCACGCTCTGATGCCCCATCCAAAGATGTCAGCAAGCCTGCTTCACAAACCCCATCGGCGAACGGATCGGTTGCGGAGCAGTACCGCCTTGATGCCTCGCTGCTTCACGAATTGCGCACTCCTGTAGTCAGCTTACTCGACAAGAATCGTGCGCTCTTCATGTTCAAGCTCGATAAACAGACAGCCGAGATCAAAGATGCCATCAAGGATTCTGAAACGCGCATTATGTTGGCTCTCGGCGACAAATTTAAACAGGGTCAAGGATCCAGTAAGGATTAAGAAACTCGATTCTATGCATCACTAACTCGGTCAATCTCACTAGCATCTCCAATTTATCTGGAAAGAAATGGCATGTCTTTGTGCAGGCGTGATCGAAGCACATACTTACTTATCATCTTCAAGAAATGATCAACAAGTGTCAAGATACTATACTTCATCGCAGAACTCCATGATTATTTCACACAATGTTTCTCCAACCTGCATAATGATGCTCCATGCCCAAAAGTGACATCAAGTACACCCCACACTCAGTCCCCTCCAGTAGACCATGCAGACGAGTGGTGCTTGAAATATCTGTCAGTTTTCTACATTTTGAGTTTATCCGAAGTCTTCGACGAGGACGCAAATGGCTTGATCAGCGTAAGGGAAGTTAATGCCTTTACTTCCGCGATACTTCCGGGCTTGAGTGTACCTCAAGCACTTGCATACTGGGCTGCAGGTGAGTATTTTGGTCATTGTCGTCAGGTCGAACTTGGAGCGTTTACATCAGCAAAGGTTGGAGAGTGGATAGCCAACATTACCACACACGAATTGAACAAGTCTTGCACAGCATGGTTCATGCGCAAGCAGACGTACTGCCGGTAAACAGGAGGTGTATCGCCTTGTACTTGGATTCAGATGTTATCCAGGGTTTGGCGCTTTTCTCACCTCTGAATGCGGATATTTACACATGCAAACAGGCATCAAATGGCTCGTGCGCTCTCTTGCAGAGCTTGGGCCAGAGGACTCAGACTTAGATCTCACGCAATTGTCTGATAGATATCGCAACATTCAGGAGAATGACTTGGTGAAAAGACTTGACACTGTAAAGTATGAAATCGACTCCAAAGATTTCTTCAAACTTTTCGGATCTGATCACATCGAAAATGTGAGTCGTCGTTCACTCAATGTTTGTACCAAATGCCCACATGAATGTTTGTTCAGTTCTTGCTGCCAGTGCTTTACCTCATTATGAGGAGGCATCTACAAATCATGAAACTCGCCAGGACAGTAATTCTGGTGGATAGAGAATTTGAATGTGCAACTCAAACGATATCTAATATATTGGAAGTGGTGGATCTGCGTGTTGAACAACTGGCAGGTATGCTCCTAAACTCACGGTTGTGATGCACTTTTCCTTCTACAACAGAATCATTTCGCCAGCAGGGAACAGATGCAAAAGCAAGGTTCACGTGGTATGCACACGGCTTGGTGCGTAGAGACAACAACAGTGTATTTATTTCCGGTCCCTGACGCCCCGCAATAGTACAACTTTTGGTACAGCCCAGAACGAACCGCAGACGACACTGAATGTTGGGAAGCCCATGATTTTGAGCTTGACAACACTGAGCTGGAGATTGATAAGACAGCATTGAAACTTGGTCCCTTCAGTCTGACAGAGGACCAGGAATTGTTAGAAAGGCCTGTGAAGCTCGTCGCATATACCCTTAACCAGCAGCCTGAAGATCCCAAGGACGAATATATCCGTTTGTGGTGCTTGAATAAGCTCCACAATAAGAGAAAGTCGTTCCCTTTGGAAACCTCACCTTACCTATCGCCCGAGCAACAACAAAGGTTCAAAGCCCTGTCCAAAGGGCTGCCTGAATCAGATGTCCAACACTGGAGTTCATTAGCTGAACTTGAGACACGCAAATGATTGTTTGAGTAAGTACAGCTTCTGTTACCTATCATTCTTCGACTATCTACTTATCTGGTGTTCAGGTGTTGCTGCGACGCATGCCACTCCCTTATTACTGATGTATATCACCATTGTATAGACTGCGATGATGGTGAGTGCGATTAAAACAACTATGGTGCACAATACAACTGGATCATAGCTAGACGGGTATGATTTGTGTTCAGAATGCCAATCTCTACCAATTTCAAAACACAAATATCCATCGGACCACAAGGCGACGCACAACTTGCTTGTTTTCCGCATGGTGCTCCCTTATAGTTGCTGCAGCCGAATTCAGTGGCATGCTAGGAATTTCTTATCTGATATTCTGCCGACCACAACACCACCGGAAGACGTATGCCAAACGCAATCAGATGGACCTGAACTTCCGCATCCGACAGAAGCCACTCAAGCAGATGATTCTTTCGCATCTGTTGATTTGCGGGGAGGTGATGAGAAGCTCAATGGGAACATGCAGTAGCATTCGAGAGGATACTTGGAACCTCAGCCACGAATGAGGATGCCTATTCTTGTGCTAAATGCGACGTCAAGATGAAGGGCATTTTTTATGTATGCTTTAACTGCAGAGGTCAGATTTCCATCCGTCTAACAGGGCACAAAGCTTGACAATTATTACAGAAAGCCATTTCCCCATTGCCCTATGCGGCGATTGTGCATTTCACGATGTGTTCAACGTGGCCACAGATCACCACCCTTACAAACACTGGCTGGTCAAGATTAAAAGACTGAGTTCAAGATACAGGCATCGAAACATCAGTCGAACCTTTGGCTAACGTGGACGAGACTACTTCGCTTTCCTTACGAGTTGATAAGCTGGCTGCGATGGTAGAATCTCGCTTCGTGGGACAAGATCTCCAGCTTAGTGCACTTGTGAAACAGGTTGAACAGCTCGTGCATAGCATAGCTGCGTTGACGGGAAAAGCAGAGCTTCCTTCTGAATCCGTTACTGTTTGATTGGCTCATAATTTGACAGACTGTTGTAGTTGATTCTCGCTGTCTCCGTAACCTTGTACTAGTATATATCGATCAGTACAGAATTGCTATGTCCTTTGTGCGAGCGTGCCACTGTACCCACTCAACTAGCATATGCGTGACCCTCATCATACCGATAGCAAGATGAAGCTCAGACACAAAAACCAAATACAAATTCGTCTAATAAATGATTCATCTATTCTGGCATGTAAGTAGCCAGCTATGTATGACCCCGTTCCAATACAAGTTATAATCAGCATCAGTGAGGTGTTCACTGTTGAACATCAGAGTTTAGCGTCACCGTCCTTGTGCTCAGTCATCAGCAAAAGTGGCGCAGCCTGGTAAGCCCTTCCCAGGCTTGGCAAGATACCCCCAGTCTGACGAACTTTGCCAAGACTGAACACGGCTTGCAGACAACCTCTCCATCGTGCCAGATGGGCACCAGGATGGTCAAAAGCCATCAGGATCGTGTATTTTAACAAGTCTTGAGACACCTTGCAATGTTGATCCAGCCTTACCAGTTCCAAGCAGGCTGTTCATAGCTTACATGACTCATACCAGACAGATAGCACACTGCAATGCAATAAATGGAATCCAGTAAATTTCATGATCGTACAATACAAAGCAATGCAAGTAGCAAAACTACACAGGTGTCTATGCGAGTCCAACGCCATCCGAAAGTAGGATCAAGGGTGTGACAATAGTATATGAGAGACATCAAGTGCGAGACATTGTAAGCGCAAATGGAGTCGTGAGTGCAAGAGTAATATATAGCATGGGCACGAATCGAGTGTAATGCAGCGAGTGACAGCATTGAAATCTGTGTGACTAAAACCAATAATCAGAATAGGCAAACAGACCAGGATTTAAAATACCTAGGCAGCCTTTTTACCCCAACGAGGCATGGGAGCGTCCGCATCTGGGATATCAGCACCACCTGCTTCGTTAGTAGATTCTTCAACCTGGATATCACCAGCAGAGAGACATGCAAAACCGTGAGTGTTGGATGACTTACATGATGACTTTGGTATGATAGGCTGCAGGGTATCGCTGTTGCGGTTCGTCAAAATATACTTGAGCATTGGGTGTTCGAGGGATGCGAAGTCATCAGATCGTTGTGACCTCATGGCGCTGCTAATCTGGTTGTTTGTAGTCATTAGTTTGGTGCAAATACATATGCACATATATGCAAAAACTTACCGCAGTTTTAAGTCCACCTATGACATCTCATCAAGAGTTGCATGAAAACCAGGCATCCCATAACGAAATACAAGTGACATGTTGGCCAATGGATTCTATGCCAGGACCGCTTTGCGCCCAGCCGCCGATAACACGTCACTCAACCTTGAGTCGCGTGATAGGGGTGAGCCTATGAATATGAAACTTACCTGATCTTCTTCTACCTGCCGGCGGTGGTAAGATTATCGAGGATGTGTGTCTATCAAAGCACATTTTTTGGAGCTGGAGGGACAGCAATGTGTTAGATATCGGAGATAACATTATGGTAAAGGGATAAAAGAGAACACGATGAAACCTTGACATAAGCTGGACTTTGAAATACCTTCTGACGGAGTTCGAATGCACAACGCGTGAATGTAGTTCGTGCATCAGCAAATTCATGAGTTCGCGATATTGTAGCCATGATGATTATAGTAATATATAATTCTGCTTCTACCAAATATATCTATTTATACGCCAATAAATTTGACTTGCTAGTACATATGTATGGATGAATGCAAATCTATGCTACACTGAGGAATTGGTGACAACATTAGGACATTGGGACATCCCCACCGGTAAGGGACCATGGAGGAATTGTGTCGAAGTTGTTAAACATGTTCACCTACTGTAATTTAATTCTTCAATGACAAACCTATTTATGACTTTATCATGGAAAGTAGCACTAGCAGTGGACATCAGATATATATTTACATTGGAGTCTGCAACAACGCTATGACATTGTACAATTACAGCGTAAAAGTGAATGGTGGGCAATTGTGCCTGGTCTGCCAAGCATCTGCATTTTTCCGTCATGCGTGTTTTCATTACCTGACAATGGATATGTATGTAATACGTGTAATATTGCTACAGTACTGGAATGCAATATATAATTTTCCAATGCAAAATGACTTTCGCACTGGTCAACAAATTTAGACCAGTTCTCGATGAAGGTGTGGCAGCTGGCCTACACAATATCGGGGGGATTTTCTCTTCAACCCAAGCAAGGTCTTAGAGATATTTCAGAAGTTCACCATGATACAGATTGGTTGCAAGTGCAAAAACGGAAAACAGAATTGAATACCCTCCTCCTAGTTCTACCGAAATTATGCTAGATCGATCAGAATCGTGCCCATAAGTGTATACAGGATGTAAAAGTCCTACAGTGTTCCGTCGTCCTCCAGAGATATCATGATAGCGTATAGCCCTTGTTGTTCTGCCGTTTGAATCACTGTGTCAAGTTTCTGTAGCCACAGGCGCCCAGGACACGTCACATCCGCATCCTTTCACTGAAGACAAGTATCCCCGAGATGGACGATTAAGGAGTTGCAATGTGGAGAAGTGAAAGGCAATTCGGTGCTATTGCGGCTGGCTTGCACCATCGAAAAAGACGCCAGTGAGTAAAAGTCAGAACGAGTATGATCATACTCACCTGCACATGCTGCAGCCTTTCAACAAGTATCTCCGAGACGGACGATTAAGGAGTTGCAATGTGGAGAAGTGAAAGGCAATTCGGTGCCATCACGGCTGGCTTGCACCATCGAAAAAAGACGCCAGTGAGTAAAAGTCACAGAACGAGTATGATAATACTCACCTATACACGCTGCAGCCTTTTTCTGATATTCGTAGTGCTCTGTATTAGTTACCATGTATTCTCGGAGTGAATGCAAAGAACTGACCTTCTTGATGCGAGCTGACATAGTATCATGTTCCAAGCGCTGGTGACTATGCGACAGTGAATGTAACATCAGGAATTCACCAAGCAAGGGTTTGGCCGGTGCTAACTGTGGACAATTCATGGAGCGCACGACCCTCACAAAGGTGAACCGCTAGTACAAGAGACTTACCCAAATTGATTGTTCATCTGGAAAATGCCGGGGATATTTTAAATATATCGCTATCCAAATCGGGATGTTTCTCCTGGACACGATCATTCCATAACGCAGGTATGTATTCATTCGCTTTCGATTCAATTTTCTATCTACAAACTCTAGTACTAGTATGAACAACGATAATGACAACAATGCTAATGGAGTCAGAAACCAAAATCATGAGGTGCGTCGATGATGTTCTGACACTGGCTACTCAACGATAATTGATAACCAACAGATTCCTCGACACTTTCTCCAACATGCACCGAGGCCTCGGGAGGTCAGATTCATGTTGACGGACAGGCAGTTGGTAAGTGATATACTTATGTTAAAGCTGACACGCTGACATCATTAAGGAATTGATGTATGTCGTTTGGGCTGCCGCGCGAGGCCGCGTGCGCCAGCAAGTGTATCATCCGGAATTGCCGATCCCTCCCTATCCGTTACCTCCAGTCTGGCCAGATGACGTATGGGCGATGGTGATCCTATGGGTTGCAAGGGAGCGCCGGATGTTCGAAATGGAGATGACTGAGCTCGAGTATATCCTGGGCCTCAGGGTTCGTGCGTGTTAAGTACTTATACTAGGTAAGGAGTTTTCAGACCGGGCGAAGAGAGCATCAAAGAGTCTAGGAGACCGAAAGTATGATTCAGCGGCTGCAGAGATTGGTGATACGAGATGTACTTACTCTGGATTTCCCATGCAAACTGTACAAAATTATTATTCCAGCGGACATTAATAGTCTCGAGTTGGTTTTGCCTGAAGGAGGTCAGCCAACGCATGCTCTTCAAGGCCGAAATTGCCTTGAGGTTGACGTATTATTGAGATAATCAGTGGCCCAGAGAGAGTGCATGGTACGCAGAAACGAGTGTCTGAGTAGTTAAGGTTAAGGTATCCAGTTGCAATGTTGAGGGCTCATCAAAGCCCTCGAGAGGCCGAACTGGGAGTCTGAGGTGAGACGCTCATCCTGGGGCAGATCACTTAGGGCCAGTTTTTTCACCTTTTTCTGGCTTGTGCAGTTTGTCTGAGATAAAACTTCCAGATCCAATTGAAGATGAGTTATGCTGCATGGCGCCACCCGTGCTGCCAGTGCGAGTGTAAGGCTGCAAGCGGTGTGATGAACATTCTGAAGATGTCAAACACCACTTGGGATTTATGGGGTCGTATGGTATGGGTTCAAAGCTGGCTGATGATGTGATCATAATGCTTCAAGGAGAGGGACTTTGGAAAGCTGGGACTCACCGTCTGGCAGGTGAGTTGCATTTTAGACAATGGAGTAAAGCGAAATATAAGAAAATCCAGAGTATGACATTGTCACGCTGGTGACTCTCCAACGCATGTGTTCAAGTTCAAGGTGTCACAGTGCGGCCATCTGATAGAACTTGATGCCAATAAAGACATGGACGTCGTCCTGTTCGTTTTCTCCAAAAGGTCACTGTACCCGGACCGACTACTAGTCGCGAAACTATGCCACGAGTGTCTCTTGTCAGAAGTATCCAATGTGTAGGAGGAGTCGCGGTTGAAGTTGAGACCAGGTGGTACTGACAGAAAGCTCTCATCATGTGGCGTTGAAACCTGGCTTCCAGGAGAACTAAGCATTAATCTTGGGGATGACATGGTGCTCTGTGCATCCAAGTCAGGTTGAACAAGCAGTCCTTGATTGACAGGGTTCCAATCTTCTGCCTCCGGAACCGCATGCTGAGAGGGCTCAGTCCCGCAGTCCACCTCCTGCCAAGTGTTTGATCCAGCTAGCTTTTGGCTCACGTTTATACTCCGTCGGTGCATGTCTTCCATCCGCTGACGCCATTTGACGACTGGGAAACGCTGAACAGCTGACCGAGCACGAAGCATGGCTCTTTTTTCCTCTGTAGATTTTAATGCCAGCTTGATCGTCTTCGAAAGCTGAGACAACATATGGTCCGTCGAAGTGGATTCTACAGGGAACCACTACCAGGAATCTTGTCAGATAGTGCCCCAAGAAGACGGTCAGCACTCACCCATCCAGGCATTGTTACGACTGGGATGAGTCGAGCTATCTTTGTCTGAGTAGACAATCGGCAGGATGCCAGATAGACGTAAGTCTGCTCTCGATTGAGAGGTCAAGTGTTCTGGCTAAGGCGAGTGTCGCTGACTCCCTTAGAATAGTGGTTCTTAGGCAGCAAGGTTGGAGACCTTGCTGAAGGACAATGTTCCAGGTAAAACCCAGTAGATTAAAGTAAAGAATACAACCGTAGGTAGGTAAGTTTATATACCAATGTTCAAGTGGAGCTTGTAAATGCGTTTATCAAGATAGAAGCAAAAAGAGGCGGACAGCCCGCTTGGTCAAGATAAGAGTCAAGATAAGAGATAGGCATGATAAGAGATAAGCGTGGTACGGACGGCCCGTTTGGAAGTGAAAGGAAAATGAGTATAGGGGTTTTTAGATGTTACTGTAACAGGCATCAACCCAAGACCGCCGAGTCGACTACCAACACCAAGAGCACCTTTCCTCCCGAATTCGACAGCGACCAATCCAAACGGTTCATCACGGGAAGGAATCAGAGAAAACCCAGCACCACTAAACAAATAAGGCGGTAACACGGTAAACTCCAGTTTCGAGTAAACACCATCAGGGTACATCTCCATCAACCAAACAAGTTTCTCCACAGCGAACCGACCATAAAGATCAATGACAGGTCCGACGCAAATCAACTGTATCGAAGGGCATTTCTCAAGGCTGTGGGAGGGGTCTCATCAGAGCCAGTCCCACAAGATCTAAAAACAGACTCACAGCGATGGCATAACATCCGCAATCAAGTCAACACCTTTCTGCCTCGACCACCGACCAACGAACACAAACAGATCAGAGTTGGGATCCTGCTTGATATTCGCCCATTCCTGAGCCTGCCGCTTCATCTCCGGACGCTGCACCTCAACAACCTGATCGATCTGCACTTCACAAATAGCCACCGGGTTCTCATCCAAAGCCGCGATATCTGTAGGGTCAGGATTAGGCAGAATCGACATACTTGAGGGTCCACAGAGCAGGATACCGTACCCAACTGCGCTTCCCATACTTGTCCGACACTCCAGCGACACTGATGCTGTTTTGATAAACGCTGATAAACGATGCAGCAGCGTGAAGCAGGTTAAACGTGTTTCCGAACTGGACGTATTTCGTACAGTGCTCTTTGCTGATGTTGAACGCGGAGCAGACTTCTTTCATCTCTTCTTTTGTTCGAAGCGGCCATAGACCCTGGAACTCGGCATTGTGCAGCGAGAGACAGATGGGTACTACTTTAAGTAGGAGGTAAATTGGAGCAAGCGCGCCGTGATAGTCGTTGATGTGGTATATGTCGATGACAGGGAATTGGCGGATGGTGGTCGCGATGGCCTGGTTCCATGTGGAGTAGAAGATGGCGGAACTAAGATCGTCCATGCGGGCTGGGTATGGGTCTGATGTGGTCTGTGCATGGAAAAAAAACAGGGCTGTCGAGGATGACATAGGTGATATTGTCCACACGTGCATCTCCACTTCGATATGATAGGGCTCATTGAAGACAATAGCCTCGATGGGCTCCGCAAGTTCGCCAGCGGGATAATCCAGGTCCTTCACTTTTGGAATGACCCAGATCAAGTCAACATCCATCATAGCTTTTCCCATGAGCGATGACATCACACCGAGACCTCCGATCTTGACCTTGAGTTTCCAGTCAATGATCTCATATTCCAGCGTCGCAATGAGGACTCTGCGCCGTTTGTTCTTGTCCTCTGGCCATCCTACGATCTCCGCATTCGGCTTGTGCCCAAAGATCTTTTCCACGATGGGCGTCACGCTCTCCTTGAAGTCTGCGGCCGACTTATTGAGCAATCCAATGATAGGGAAACACTTGCTTGCGCCCGAATTTGTCTGCACGCCGTACAGGTTGTGGTGAATGCCGTAGAAAGAGTACATGAAAATGACGACTGCGAGAACTCTGGTAATGAGGGAGAGAGAGCAGAGAAGCCCGTACAAGGTAGCGCTGACAGATGCATGGCCATGAGGCTCAAGAGTCCACTCCAACGTGGCATCATCAACGATGAGTGCCCATGCGAGTGCAGGATATGGGGGTGCTAACAAGTTTAAGTAGTTGAGCGCAATACTATTTGGTGGTATCCGATCCATAACGCCGCCCCCGTCGACGTCACCGTAGTAGTAATCATCATACCCAAACATGTTGAGTTGCAGGTACGTTGGCCACGCAGCCATGATTTTGAGCTCCCAAGTGCCATCGCTGACTAGGTTCATCGCATTGGAGATACCCTGGTCATAACCCCAATTGTTCAAAGGACCTCGAGCGAGGAGCTGGGGAACGCGACACTGCTGATTGTAGTTCAAATCTGCATGCACAACGACGCTGGAGGTAGTTGCAACACCACTCCAATCTACTGCAATGTCAACACCAGAAAAAAGCAGCAGCAACTACGAGCACTCACATTGTACTATGAGATGTTGTCCCGTCCAGAAAGTATCAGAATTGCTGAGGACATCAGCGGGTATGGTCATGACATTCTCCCAACTCGTCCAGTTAGACCAACTCGGTGTGAAGTCGCCTAAGTACCTGAACATATCCGCTCCATAGGTACGGTGCGTGAATGTGTACTGGCCGTCAGTGTAGTTGAAATCTGTGTTATCATAATCAGACTTGGGGAACACCATGACATTGTTCCCTTTGCCCTTGCACAGCACGAGATGGTCTATGCTCTACGGACCATGAGCAAAACACAACAGAGTACAGAAAAAAACAGACATACTCCAGTAGATAGTGTCCCATCAAACGATGTTGGATTGTTAACAATAATCTCCAAAATCCCATCCAGAACATCAGTCAATGTACCAGACCACGACCACTGCGAGTATGGAGTTCTGGCAACGGACGACATGGTGGAATTCGTGACAGCATTGTATATCACCAAAGTCAGGTTGAGCATAGGCTGCCCACCGATGCCAGAAGACGACATGTTGAACGACAAACTCTGTGTGACGCTATCACACGACAGATTTACATTGAACTCCAGCATGAGCTCCACAATCGTAGTGTTTGGCTCTCCCCGCATGACTTTGATGCGCGTCCCACCCACATAGGGTGACGATATCCACAGCGGATCGCTGCAATCATACGAAACCGCTTGTGAGCTGTTCTGATTTGAGTACAATAGCCAGACCTGATCGGTGAAGGTGAGGAATCTTGACTGTGGGTGAAAACACTAAAAGAAAGGGGGCTCTACAGCAAGACCTGGATACGAGAATACAACTCGACCCAAAGGACAGCTACTGAGAGAAGTTCCTCGCGAATAAGGTGGAGGGAAACTATGTCAACTAGACGGGCGCTGGTAGACGCGGGAAAGTAACGCGCGCGAAGGCGCGCGTAGGCGATGCGAAGGCGCGCGAGATGCGCGCGTGAGCGAGAGATGCGGAGGGTACACGCGTAAGCGGGCGCACGCTTGAACGATGAAGGAGAGGAGTCCTTAAGAGAGTAGCAAGGGCACAGGTGTCAACAGTGGAGGAGTATAATCAGATTTCTAGTATTGGAGGGAGAACTCTACACTTTGCAGTATATCAAGATAAGGGGAAAGTAAGTACCAGAACCGAAGGAATCCTCCCTCTATTTAAGAAGGGAGATTACGCTATGCGGCGCGCTTCCGAGCGCGCTCCCGAACCGAGTAACCATATCAACTTCTAAATATATTCTAAGTTTAAATAGACTCTCTGTATGTAAGCGCGGAGGTCGGACCGAAGGTTCGTTAATTCAATGAGAGAGATAAAAATAACGCACCAGTGAATCAGCAAGGACAAAGGACAGAGGGACGGACGGTAGGAGCGCGAAGGCCTATGGAGCGCGCACGCGAAGGGCGCGCGTGCATGTGCGATGTGCGAGTGAGGCGCGTACGTAGGGCGCGCGCGCGAGAGCGCGAATGACTGGTCCTTAGGATGTGAGCTGATACAGATAGGGAATTAAATGGGTAAGAAGGCCGCATATCCGGCATCGAGAGGCGCGAGTCTCTACATCGGTGTGCCCCCCTGTCAAGTTTTGTACGTTCGGCATACCTGCGCGTGATATGGGACCAGAGCCCCAATTCGGTTGCAGTGCCGTTTGAACCTGGGAACTCAACAAAGTAGGTCCAGTCCAAGCTGTACGAGTTTAAAGCCATCTTGGAGGGCGTTGTAAGTGGTTCGGAGGTACAAGAAATGTTTTAGGAGGCGACGCATGTCCGTCGTCGGATCAAAATGATCGAGCGAGTTCCAATCGTCATCACATCCCATTAAGGCGGACTCAAGCGGCATGTTAGGGAATTGGACGGATCCAACTTTTGTAGCACCCGTGGTGCTGCCAAGCCTTGTTGCTCATCATAGCTTGACGGCTGAAAGTAGCAGTGTGAGAAAAGTAATCACTTCAAGGAGTTGGTGACTTACCTGAAGAGATAGTTTGAGGCTGTGGAGTTGTACAAGTAGAAATTCTGCTCCTCGCCATAGTATATCTGTAAAAGGTAAGTACTGCGGCAGCGGGCATTCGAGTATAGCTCCTACGAATGGAACCCCTGGCATAAGCAGGTACATGATATAAGATGCCAATGCGGATCTCAACGTGCCATTCGCCAAACTGGGCCAACGGAAAACATCAAAATTGCTTGTTCCTGAATAAATGCTTTGGATCGGCGAGGCCGGTGTCTGGATTCAAGAAGTCGTTGGTCACGAGCATCTGATTCCAAGCGGTGATAAAGTTGGTGTTGAGATCAGACGTGAGGACCAATTTGTCGTCCACTCCAAGGAAACGGATGAGGGAGCGGTATATTGAGTAATGGAACACGTAGCCGTCGAGGCCATTCGACAACTGTGGGTGCAAGAAATACTGGTTTTCGGATTCTGTCAAGTTGGCTGACTGGAAAAATCCAGGGGGGCAATATAGTCAGGGTGTGGCCACATCCACTGTGAAAGCGATCAATTGGTATCAGTGGCGAGTGAAATAGTGACTGACAGGTATAGGGACCCAAAGGTGTCACCGCCAGTGACTTCACTGGTGATATAAAAGTTCTTCTTTCCAAGATTAGTGGCGCAAGCACAAGTTGCAGATGCCCAAGCGGTTAGGCCATTGATGGTGAGCTGTGTGGACTTGTCGACACGAATGGCATCAATATCAAGGGCTGTGGTGGTCATGCAGGAGAAGGTAGTGAGTTTGTCCATAATGGAAGGCTTCCATTTGCGGAGACGGTCCTGTACAGATGCAAATTTGGAAAGCTGACGCTGCCAGGCGGGTGAAGACCAAAAGCGTCCATGTCACCATATTGGTCAAAGTCAGACTCGTAACAACCGTCATGTCCCATTACAGGCTGGATTGTTCCATCATCTTGCCAAAAGACGGGAAGTTGGCAAGAAGTATTATGCTCATTAATGACCTAGGAGAAAAAGTTAGTTGAGGGGAGTTCAGGCACAAGGTGAACGGAAATAACTACTTACAGAAAAATCATTGCAGGATATTCAGTGAGACTGAATGGAGCGCTGGCATTGACATAACTGGTGTGAGTGAGTGAGCAAGTAATTGTAGTTGGTGGATAGGGTGAACAAACCCTTCGGACATGGTTCCGACTGTGAAATCCAACATGATATACATGCCGTGTGCATGCAGGATGTCGACAAAGTTTACCCAATCATCAATAGTACCCCAATGAGGATCCAAAATGGAGAAGTCAAGAGGAGAATAACCTAAAGGAAGTGAGTGTGAGTTGTAAATGAGATTGAGATAAGGACATACTATCGGCTTGCCATATCATGTTCAAGAATATTGTACCTGAGAGATATATGGCCTTGACGCCCATGCCTTGGATGTAGTCCAATTTCAAGATTAGACCTTTGAGGTCACCGCCAAAATGAAGTTGGGTTTCTCTCCAATCCCATTTGTATGGGGAGTTGAAGAACTGATTATTTGAAGGGTCACCATTGGCAAACTTGTCCATAAGGACAGTGTACATTGGGATTGAATGCCAGTTCTGTGGAGAAGGAGTGCAGGTGGTGTTTGATCTTGTGGTTGAATAATCTATAGGAGACTGGGCAGATTGGTTTACATTGAGATTGTAGGATGTCAGGTCTGGTCGATAAGGGGAAGCGCATATGAATGAAAAAAAGCATAGTGATGAAGCAAGGGCGGTTATGAACCGCATCTTGGACCACTTTGAGAAAGGAATGGTAGAAAAAATGATTGACAGGGATGGTGTTTTCTAGTTGTGGATTCCAGGGAGAGACAGTAATCGTAGAAAAGAAGAGGGAAACTGCATTATACATTGGAAACCTGCCGAAGAACAGCGAGAGACACTAAAGCCAATAAGGCAGAGATTAGCGAGACAAAACAATCAATACTAAAATCAGGGTACAGTTAACAGAAGAACCGACCGGTCTTGGTCCAAGGTTTCTCCATGAGTTGTATGTAGTATCGCTCGTGAGCCTTGCACAATTGACAAATCTTCTTGTCAAGTGAACACTCCGAGAAAAACGTCTGTATAGATGAATGGAAACCAGTGAGGAAGAAGGGCCAGATGATCATCATGTGGGCGCTTACCTTGGTCAAGTTGACGTTCTCTGGGTTCTCCGTCCAAATTGCTCCAGTCCTAAGGCTTTCCTTCACAGGTTCATTAGGAAAAAACGGTGCAAGGGATCGAAAAACGCAGTAACTTCATGTGCATGACTTGAAGAGAGCGCTGAGATGGCATGATTGGCTAGTACCGATACGCCACTGTGATTGGTTGTCACCTGGCCAGTCAGCTACATCAAATACCAAGCTTTTGAATGAAAGACAGCCTATTCAAAAGCTTTACCTCCAGGAAACTCTAGTAAGACCAATCACGAGAAAATACAACGAGTGCTTTGTATGGATCCTTCAAGTTAGTTACTAGTAGTAAAGCTTTTGACATCACTACAAGATGTTACACAATCTGTTACTACTGTAATAGGCGTCTATCTGGCAGAAATTACCTTGAATCGGATAACAACTTGCACATAGTGACATTTGATTGACTTGACTCACTCATTTCTGAGTTATGATCATGCATTGATTGACCAGATGTCACATTTGAAGTTTGCTGAAGCTCATATTACAGCACACATACATTACGTTGAACGGAGGGAATCTAAAAAGATAAGTCATCGTCATCGTCATTGTCATCGTCCACATCCTCTTCACCGTCGTTCGAGTCTCCATCTTCCATTTCGTCGTCACTAATCTCTTCATCACTCTCCTCTTCTGTATCGCTTCATCCTGTGTAATGCTCTTTGTCACTGCTATTTCCGTAGTCCCTCTCTGCTTCGTTGCTTACGATGGTAGCACCTCGTGACTCGAACCCGAGACAATCTTTGACCATGTTCTGCAGCACGGCCGGATGACCAACACCAAGGTGAGTATACCGCATAAACATATCCCGATCCACAAATCTGTCCTGAAGATTAAGAATCAATGGATCATAGGAGTAGATATATTTGCTCACGTGCTGACACAGAAAACTTCCCAATCATCTAACTCCCCTTCAGGATGCGCCAACGATCGTCCATGGTGAAGAGAGCTGACACCACGACCTGAAGCAAAGGCAGGAATCAAATGCGCACCTCGAATCACCTGCCCTGGATCAAGAAAACCGAATGCATCTGGATCCAACTCATCCACAAAGGCAACCTTGGGAAGACGTGCGTGTCTCATGCCGGATTTATGGTTTCATACAGGGGCCAGCCATCTGACCCACAGAACCTCGAGGTGCTGCTTCACAGGTTTGCCCCCGTCATTGAGCCAGGTTTCCATATGAAAGATACCTAAAACACGAGCATACCAATATGGGTGCATCAGTGTTGTCTCGCCTGAAAGCACCATGACGTCGGGATATGTCCCAGGGTTGATGGTGTCATACTCATGCCTCATGTCATACGGGTGTAATGTACTTGCATGGTGTGGACAGAGTAGATAGTGTCGTTAGGAATGATTACTGAGTTATGCTCTTCATCTGTGAAGGTATGGTCGCAAAAGCTGATGTCTAACTTGCGCAGCCTGTAAAGGACATGGTCCTTTAGTTTCGGTATGAATCTCTGGAAACCTTCATAAGTATGTGTTTAAAATATCACAACTCCACTTCTACCTTGAGAGCTGGGTCATCATCATGCTCTCAGAGGAGCATGAATAGAGCGACTGGATTGTTCCGACAGCATGCAATATGATGATGCTTGCCGGGGGAGGAGGGATCAACTGGTGATTGACTGATGGACGGGGATATGCCTGACGCCTCTGCCACCCGGCAAAGTACACGGCGCCTGTGTTCGTGTTTACTTAGCTGTGCTGGAGTGTCTAGTTTGTTGGTCAGTGGATAGAACACCTTAAGGGCTCGGTGTGCAAGCTCCCCCTGTACAAAGGTTTCAGGTGTATAATAGAAGAAATATCGTTGATACGCACAATCTGAGTAGTAAACGAATCAGTGGTCCCAAAAAACCTAATACTCCCCACATAGTCTCCCATGGCGTGAAACTTATAAGTATTCAAATTGAACTTCTTTACCCTGGGCCCTGCAGATTCCGGGGAGACATCGTGACTTTCAGAACACTGAGCAATCCTTCTTTGACGAGCCACTTTCTCTTTTGGTAACTCCCGAGTATCAAAGGCAACGCAAGTATCGGCGAAAATTTCGCAACTTCTGGGAGAGTTTGTTGAACGTTTCTTGCAGAAAAGCCAAGGTAGATTCCGAGTGAAGTCTAAGTTTAGCAAGAGCATGCCACTCTGCAAACCAATATAGCAGAGACTGCACGGTTGCGTCGTGGTCGGGAGGGAAAAGTCCTTCAAAAACTGGGATAGCGCACTGTAGGGAATGTCAACAAGCCTACGTAAAAATTTGATGCAAATTGACCTGTAAGATGTCTTCAAAATCATGGGCTGCCAATTTCTTCATCTCAGAAGTATTGTTTGCAAATTTGCGAATCGCACCGCCACCGTATGTCGGGACTTGGCGAAATCTAACATAGGATCGAGAAGTATGAAACTTGTTAGCGTGTGATGATAATCTATATTGAACTCCGCATACCTTTCATCGAGGGTCGCGACAAGTCGAATACCCTCAGGGAGGGCATAAAGAAGCCTTATTAGGTGTGTAAAGAGCGCCTTCCAGGTACCCAATTCGCACTCATGCATCAGGTCGACGACGAGCATGCGAAATGGGTCAAGGCCTAGTACTCTCAGCTTTGCAACAAATTGATTCTGCTCAGAATAGTTTTAGCAGATCATATTCGACAGGTTGCACTTACCAGGATAGGTACCCACGACCCTTCTCCAAGGGTGTCTTCGACCTTTGCACCGTCGACTGTATTTCCTAATGCATAGATGAACTCATGAGCCTTGACGACCTTAGCCATTACATAGACTCGAAGGTTGGTTATGCGGGATTTCATGTCCTTCGCGAGTCCAAGGTAACTAAATAAGCCATTCAGCATGAGGCAGCGAGGGCATGGGCACGAGCCCATGTCCTTGATAGTTGCGATTAAAGCCCTGGAAATGTATGAGCTATCACACATTTTTAACGAATACAACAGAAAATGCACTTCTCTGGATAGTCCGCTGAATAGGTGAATATCCGAGGATATACTCTTCGTATTACTCCATCGGCACATTTCGTAAAAATTCCGTGTCGATACGCATGAAGAAATTCTGTATCCAGTAAAATTTCCCAGCACGCATGGAACAGTTCCCTGCGGCAGTGTGTGCGAAGGGAGGCCATGCCGGTTTTTGATACTCTAGGTAGGCTACATATAATATCTTTAATGTTATCGGGAAGCTGGTCACTCAGATAATCCATATTAGCGGTGGTTATTAAACATTCGATTGGGTGGGCTCACCGAAGGCAAGAAACCTACAAGGTGGCACGATCCCGATGTCGGTGACGAGCGCAGGTATTTCATGAGATTTCCAAAGTAGGCATACACCAGCCAAGCCTTTGCAGTTCCGAAGTTCGCCAAGTGAGTGGCGTCGGAAAACAATATCAAACCTGCTATCACACATTCCAATGAACATCCGGGATCCTTTGGCAATTTTTGAAGATCATCCTGAGCTTCCAGCCAAGCATCAGAAGTGTAGAGTTCGTCGTACATCCGTTCTTGATGACCATCTAGAGGATCCTTCCACAGGCACTTGAAGGGCAAAAGATGGAATGCCCTTGCCTGAGCATCCGCAAATGCTGCGTGTATAACCTCAACGAGAGGGCGATAATGGAACCTGGGAATGGTGTAAGGCCTAGGGGCATCTTCCTTTGACTTTGTTGGCATGTTGATGGTGATGCTGGTCTCGATCCAGTCATCTGGAAAGGTGATTTTCTTCCCTCTTTCATCCTTGTCCAGTTCTCATAAACTCTGCTTCACCGAGAAGCCCTCAAGGTGTTCATGGTCGAAATCTTCCGCGAGCATCACATCTTTAACAAGCTCTGCGACTTTAGTTTCCGATAATCGAGTGGTACCAGAGTTCATCCACGACATGAGGCGATATATCATCATATTGGGAAAGGGGTATGGCAGAGCAAAGATCCTTGGTGAAGAGTCAGTGTCTTTAGCAGCGGTCGGACATGTTCTCCCCAGCAATGAGGACGGAACAAATCTGTCCGGCTCGAAAGAAGGACGGCGGGGGTACAGTCGGCTGAGGCCAAACATGTTGAAAGGGGTTTGAAGCATGTCTCTGAGTGTTAGGAGGACGCGTCGGATTTGAGATTGGGCTGGTAGGGCAACCAAATTTTGAGTTGACGGACTCTGACCTGACTTGGAGTAATTGATGTCTTCCTCTGAGTGCTCGATGTTATCGAAAGACCTTGGTATTCGTCTTATATGGCCTGCCGGTTCATCTGAACAAGTCGATCAGAAAAAGAAGGTAAATAGATGCTACTAAAAGAGAGACGAACTAAAGTCAAATCCGTCCTCCATCTCAACATCAACATCATTTTGTGGAATTTCTTGATCGTGGGGG